GTATGTCTACTGCTCTTTCCTCCTCTTCCTGACAGAAGATCCACAGCAGTTCTTCAGCCAGGCCTATCGTACTCATATGTTTGTTGAGCCTACAATGTCCGGTGACAAGACCAGCTAGTATTCTAGTTGAACTTTCTTTCTGGCTTAGTAGATGTTCTGTGAATATTGGCGATGTTTTTTTTAATGAACTCCTTTGACTGCCTCATACCTGGCGAGTTGTTCCACCATTCTTGAGATTTGGTTTGCATCTGTCATTTGATGCTTGTCTATTGTATAGATTTCGCAATACCACAAATGGGTTCTCGGCCGTGGCAGTCAATCTTCATTTGCTGCTGTGTGAAACTGTAATGAAGTGTTTTTGAACCAGCTCCATTACTAGACTGATTTTCATCAATATCTAAGTACCTGAGACTGATTCCTAGTAACTATTCATCTGTTGAAATAATGGATGTTTACCTGGTCATAAGTTTTTTTGTCATTGGAGATTTTCGAGTCAAATTCATTCAGTAGCATTAGCAAGGGTAGTAGATTCTGTTCTTGTGCCCATTTAGGGTCAAATATAATTTTTTCCGCATTTTTTTGAGTTTAAGAACATGTGCTTTCGGATGCCAGTTCCTGCAGGCATAGTTGAGGATGCCGACCAATAAGAATCTAGGATTAGCTATATAAGGGATTGCTCGCTTCAATCTCTATCATCTACGCACGAGACTCTACTCTTCACCTGTCTCTCCTGATTCTCTTGCTGATCTCATAGTACAGTGATTTCGTGTTGCAGGTGTAGATTTGTATAATATTTTTCACTATTAATTATCGTGTTCTTAGATTCATTCCATAACTGTTGTTTTCCATACCGATACTCAGCCGACCTGTGTAAAGAATCCAGAAAATTATATTTGCGAATAAACGGTTCTCTTTGTGATTGCATATTTCATATTTCTCTCTCTGTTGTCATTGTTTTCAGTTCCGAATAGTTCCTATAATTTATTTGATGATTTTCAATATATTCATTTGTCAAATTGCTGATTATTATTGACTGACGGTTGACACTGAGAAAGCCAGCTGTCAATTCTTCTTCTTCTTCTTCTTGTGTTCCTAATCCAGTCCTGTGCACCCGTGTCCCTGTGCTTGGTATCCTGGTAAGGCTGTGGATGGAAAAAGATTAATTAGCCTCACCAAATTTCTTGTTTATGAAATTAGAAATTGAAGGAAAAGGAGAGATAAATACGAATTGAATCTGTTTAATTCGTTTGGAACTGTGTTTCTGATTCTCCAGGTACACTTATTGAAATAGTTTGAATGAATTATTTTCCAGGCCTAACCTAAAAATCCCAGGGACCCTTTTTTGACAGATGTTTGCTGTGATTACTCTAATTATCCAGCATAAAGATAGCAACGAGTATTCCAGGCTCAACCCCGGGTATGTAATTGAAGCCTACATTCCCGTGGCTTCTTGATTCAGGAAGATTCAATAACATTGACCCCTGGTTTATATTGTAGCTACTGAGGTAGGTATACCTCCTGTACCTGTCTCCACTGTTGCTACTTTGGGCCTCTGTCCAAAAATAGTATTGTGCAGAACAGGTGGAGAAATCCACCTCATAAACAATCTGGCGCCCGAGACCCCCCCTCGACCAGTACCAGAGTAGTCTTTGTCCGAACAAGCGTCAAAGTAAAGGCCCTAGGAATAAAAGGCTGTTACAAAACATACAATGTTTTCTCCAAATGTAATAAAACCAATTTTGTATAATTTTTTCATTCAAAACCCTATCATTTTGTGTTCACCCAATGTCAGTGTCAATTTTGACTACCAGTTTCTTTTAAATTGCTTGGTGCTTTGCATAGAAACAATCTTTTCCTGCCTAGGCAGAGAAAGTAGATCTCTCCTGTCTGTCAAGTTTAAGCGACAGGCCACTTTCTATGCCGGCTTGGAGAAAAACTAATTTCCTGTTGACTAGCCGAGTGGATTTTCTCTTTTGCTACTGCCCCAATCGCCTACCTCGTAGACATTCTCGTTTGTGCCAACATCGCTGTCATCTACAAGATAAATTGGACATGAAGAAAGTTTTGAATGGATTTTTATGGGCATGGAGAATTTGACAGGGTTTTGTTTGGTTATCGGGGTGGCGAAATGCTTTTTATAACAAAAAAACTTCCCTATATGGTTCACGGACCAACAAATTATCACACACGATGCGGATACGACGAGATTACCGATATGTGAAATTATCAACAGTGATCATTCATTTTTCAACTCACTCTCTCACTACATGTGATGATTGATGTTTGTTCATTGTTAAAATACTATATCTAATAACAATAACGTTTTTTTTTTCGTTTCTTCTTATTGTCATGTTTTTTTTGTTTTGCTGTGGAGAAACTGTGTCTCGATATAAGGGGCGATAAGGGGTCATGATGAAGTTAGCGCAAATTCTCTGTTTCGAATTTGAAAATTCATTGATGATGACTGCTAGAATAGTTATTGAAAGGACACTAGTGCATGGAGAATTATTCTAATTTTTTAAATTCATCAGTCTCGACCCAATAACTTCTTTAGAAGGATCTGTGATATAGTAGTCCAGCATATCTCAAAGTGGTGTGGTTCGTTACCAGGAATCAGCACACAAAATCATCTCCACCAGAAAGAAAATGTGATGCTGACTTTGATGTGTTCTGATCCCTGCATGGTTATTCACAAGGGTTCAATATCACATGGCTTTTAAAAAATTACACCAAGACTCAAAACTATGGAAATGATGTGCTCATCAAATTCCATGACAACAAATTGTTCAATTGATTGTCGAAGTAGGACAAGTTAAACCTGAGGATGAGATTAAAAAAACAGACTGATCCTCCTCTATATCTAGACATTATTCGAGGCAGGTTTATCGTATTCAAATCTTTGGTATGATAATGATAAACCTGTTTCATCTGACTGTCTTATCATAAATGCTGGTGTTCCGCAAAGATCAATTAAAGCACTTACACTATTTCTACTCCATATCAACGATTTGTTGGAAGCAACTTCATGTCCAGTTCCAATACACAGCTTTGCGGATGATAGTATACCCTCAATACCGCCTTCTCTTCCAGGGCTCCAATACCATCCAGGCAAATCAGAAACTAACGAGGGAGAATATGGACAACAACAATTCTAGAATAGGGATCCAATAACTTGGTAGATTTCAATGCGAATAAAACACAAACATGCCTTTTCTCTAGGAAAGCCGATCTCACTGTGCCCAACATAAGCATGTCAGGAGTAACCATACCTTTGAGGACATCCATTTCGATGCTTGGTATTACTATCAGCAATAACCATTTTTGGGAAAAATCACGTGAGATCAATTGCTGAAAGTGCATCCCAAAAACTTAGCTTTTTGTTCTGGGCCAGGAGCTATTTCACTTCCAGTCAGCTGCTCATGATCTATAAGTCACAAATCCGACCTGTCCCGGAATACTGTTCCCATATTTGGAGTGCAGCACCCAAACATACCCTGAAACTGTTGGATTCTATCCAATAAAAAGCAATTCGTCTCGCGGGTGATGCTTCGCTCACGAACTCACTCACTTCTCTGGAACACCATAGACAAGTTGGCGATCTGGCCCTATATTATAGATATTTTCATGGACGATGCTCTTCTGAAATATCAACAATTGTTCGTCCATTGGCAGTCCTCTCGAGATTAACCCGTCGAGTTGAGGCTTCGCACCCCTTCGTGGTCACTCTGGAGACCTGCATCAGAACATCTATTTCCAAAGACTCGTTCATCCAACGAACAACGAGGATCTGGAACACAATGCCAAGGGAGGTGTTCCCCGAGGCATATAACCCCCAGAAATTTAAGAAGAACATCAATTCCCACCTTATTTGCCTTGGTTCTCACGATGTTCTCTGAACATTACAGGATATTCCTTTTCGTGGGAACCAGAACAGAAAAAATATACGGCTAATAAGAGCATTGAATTTTTGTCAATCAGCACCAACATCGAGTCCAGTTTCATGAAAGGAACAGAACTGATCCTAGTACACTGCCCTATAGTGCCTCAGAATTGATGAGACGTCAACCATATAGATAGTCCATCACTGAATAACTTATATCCGCTGGTGAATGGGTGAATAAATATGCATCACCAATCTGGGGAATAGAATAAGTAAGTGAATAAAATATAGATGCAGTTTAAGACGTGAATGATGTTTACATAATTCCTGAACACATAACATAACACTATATCGTATGGACTAGTATTATAGTAGGTATAAATAGTTCGATGAATTATACATAACTTTACGTATTCTCAAGCCACAGTCAAGCCTTCATTGCTGTAACCAGATATTTACATAATTTGGTAGGGTAATCAGTGTAAATTTTGGTTCTATTATGAAGAGGTTTTTATACTAACGCTCAATTTTCTAATTACCATTTATTTGACACTTCGTGTGTATTTGTTATCGTTGATGAAGGTGATGGAACTTGAAGAAGTTCATTGCTGATTTCATTAGGTTCACAGTAATCGAACTATGAGAGGGTTGATAGTAGCTTGTCCGCTATTTGTTTCAACCCATATTGGCTATTTTTTTAAATCTTTGAGGTGAGTGCATACCCACAGAGTGTCTCTATGGATGACACCGTATACAGGCGATCGAATAATATATTTTATTTCATTCACAGGACGATCTCTGTGTCCTTCTATCTCTTGGAGCGCACGAAAGAAAATTTCTATGTTTGAGGAACATAATGCTTATCCAGGAAGACTATAAAGAGAGGAGGTAGGTATTGGAATCTTCTCAAAATTCACCTGAGATGCAATCATCCAAATATTAATTTAGTGCAGTTGAGGCAGTAAATGGTCTATTACGGAAGGACCATTTCTTTCGTGGCCTTTTCGCCTTGGGAGACTCTACTTCTGAAACACAAAAGAGATACCTATCAATTAAAATCTATATTCAATGTTTGTTATGACTGGTGATATGTTGGTTAGATGAACATGGATATTGATGCCTATACAGTTTCACACGAGGTACCTGGCATTTCCTCAGTAGCCTCCTGCTCATCATTGCCGTTACCAGAACTAGGCAGGACATCTGAAAAATATCATACTTAGTTATATCGTTTGAGTAATTGTGTTCAAGAAAGAATAGTCAAGCTATTGAGTCTGTAGGAAGCCCAATCATGATCACCAACAAGTCAACGCCTACAATCACTATCTTTTCAAATTTATATGAGAGACTGTTGGCATAGTTGTAACTGAAGTTATGTTGTTATGACTGGTGATATGTTGGTTAGATGAACATGGATATTGATGCCTATACAGTTTCACACGAGGTACCTGGCATTTCCTCAGTAGCCTCCTGCTCATCATTGCCGGTACCAGAACTAGGCAGGATATCTGAAAAATATCATACTCAGGTATATCGTTTGAGTAATTGTGTTCAAGAAAGAATAGTCAAGCTATTTAGTCTGTAGGAATCCAAATCATGATCACCAACAAGTCAACGCTTACAATCACTATCTTTTCAAATTTATATGAGAGACTGTTGGCATAGTTGTAACTGAAGGCTCTGAGATTGTCTGCATCTTCTGTCGCCTGTTCACACATGATTTAAAAATGAAGGCATAAAATAAATGTCATGGAAGGAGGTTCAGGATACTCCATGGTGAAACACACTAGGCGGAAACTCTAGCTGATTCTGTTGTTTGGTGTATTTTTTCTCTAAATCACGTCGTTTGGAAGTTATAAGCAAAAAATCAAAATAAGTTCCAAATTTTCATTGTTTATTGCGATTTTCGTATGCATGGTGAAGCCATATTCAAATCTACTCGATAGCTAGATTTTCAGATTCAGCACCACAAAAACCATAAAGATCCGTCGAGAAAAAGTTTTTAGCAATGTTTTCCTGAATCCATTGCTTCCTGTCACCACATGAATGGATTATAGGTACAGTCGTATTCAATGAAAGAGCGTATGAGTATATTGAAAAGAAAGGTTAACAGCATCCCTTATAGTTCTAGTTGTGTAAAACTGGCTCAGCCATGCGTTGTGTCTCTGAGAAACTATGACAACTTTACTATCTTATATCATACAAAATAGATAGGTACCTACCTACTCAACTATTAATTTTATCAAGAGAGTTTCATGAAATTATCATCAATTCAATATTTATTATATCAACAATGCGTAAATGATGGAATAGTTTACCACACATGCTTTTGATGATTCAACTATATGTTGAAATACTTGGTACATTTATGTAGGTAAAGAAAGATAGGTCATAGAGATGATATATTGTCATGGTGTTGTTGTCTAAAATAGGGATTCATTTCTTTTCTTGATCATGAAATGTGACAATGTATTTTGAGTAAAAATAAATGAGAAAAGGAAAACCCGAGTTTTAGTGAAGGGGAATAGAAAATGTTCATTAATTAACATGGTAGCATAGCGTGGTTGAAAAGGAAATAGTGAAAGTGAAAGTTTCATTGAAAAGGAAATTCCATGCAGTCCCGAATTGAATCGAGAACGAAAGAGAAGTAATGTCAAAAATGACGGACATCACAATACCTGATGTGTTTGACGGGAAAAATTAAACGAATCTTTATGTATTTGTGAATGAAGAAATGTGATCAAGTAGTAACGAGAGAAATATCTAATGAAGACAAGAAAGAAGAATGGGAACAAAGTGATCTAAAGGCAATAAACTACATACCTATGCAGTGCAACTGGAATTCGTGATCAATGAGGAAACAGCATATGGAATCATGAAGAAATTTGATATGTTATATCTGAAGGAATCAACAGTGCATCACGAATAGTTTGCAGAAATAAATTAGAAAAATTGAAACTATATGAATACCTGAATTGTTAAGACCTACGTCTACTACAAATTTTTGTCAACTAATTTTCAACAGAGTGGGCACTGCTTGTGTGAGATTGTTTCGGATATCGAGAACGTCAATTTGTAAGCCGGTGAACGAACCTAACCCGAACCGACCTCAAGCAGCTCTTCACGTTCCAATAATTTTCGGTGTCTTTGGCAGCCTGCACGGAGACAAGAAGAAGTTGTCCGGGTCTGAAAAACTATCGAAAGTGGGAGTGTTCCTCGCGTGAGTTCGCCAATGGTATGGCAATGTCATCAAAAGCAATAAAACAAATGCTGGGGGCAAGCTTCCGCCATTGGCCATCGCTATCTGCCGGTCTCTTCCCTTCACGTTCTGCTCGGATACCGTGACTTACCGGATCACGTACTTCTTCCTCTTCTTCTCCTTTTTCCCTTTTTCAACTTTTTTTAATTGCGTCTCGCAGTAAATAACGGCGACATCTAGTTATAGCACGCCACGGTATTGTTTCGTGATTCTGGTGTTTGTAGTTTCCATTGTTGTATTTTGTTTTTTTCCAAAGAATGGTTGGTTCAGTCGGAATACAATAGCCCGATTGAGTTATGAATTATTTCTTTCCTCGCGGCTACTGGTGTTGCCAGATATGGAGATAAGCACGGCATATTATAAACATAGATACTTATTTATTGTACTAAAAATATATTCAGGGTGTTCGTCAATGGCACAATGACTATGCTACCCATTTCAAGAAAAACTACTTCATATGAACGTATGACGTATGTCGTCTATGTCCTTACTTCTGACAGGGTTTCAAGGTTGAGAATATGTATATATAGATTCTTTTTTTGTCCACCCTTTATATCTTCTTGTGATGGCAAAATGACAAAACTCAATCTGGTCATTCAACTGAAATAATTCAAGAATTCCAGAATAGGTATATGGATACGCATATTACGAATTTTAACCCAACATTTTCTACTTCTTTTTCCTATATCTGGCACTGCGGCGCGACATTTGCTATTACGGCTGACACCTGGTCCAAATCATGTCCAAATGAATTCATCGATTCATCAATTCAATAGAATACACAAATGGGCCACTCTGTGGTTGTATTTATATTGAAATCACAATACGAACATCATTGAAAATTGAATAAACCTGATCTGTAAATGCAGGTAGAATATTCTCACCACACGGATTATTCGTTGCGTTGCATCCTACATGGCATGGCATCACGTTTCGGGTATGGTATTGATTTTCTTATGATGCATGATGTCAACACAAATTGTAACAAAGTCATCGTCCACCAATATTCTAATGTAAAGTAGTCTGGAGGTCTTGCTTCTATCTACTTACCTATATTATTATATGATGAAGGTATTATAATAATCTGACAAGGAAGTCACATTGGTGGTTACTTCACATATCTATTTATAGTTAATTTTTTAGGTTTCGCTAGACGCTCTGCCTCGCAAATGCAATATTTGCTTGTCAAACAATGTGTCACTTTGGATCAAAATAGAACAAACTCCTAATAATTATTATTTCAATAATGTGGCAAAGTTTTTTAGTGAATTGTGTAGTTATGATGGGTATAGTTGAATGAAAAAAAAAAACAGTTATTTATTGTACGAGGGGAAAATGTATAGTAGATATTAGCTTGAGGGTGTGTTGCCTACCGACGCGTAGCGTAAGGAGACAAAAACCGTGGTTGAATTTCTTGCATCAAATTCAGTGAATGCTTCCATATTTGAATAGGTAAATTTCTGACCAGAAAGTCTTACCGAAAATGGGGAAGACCATACTGAGGGATGAAATCCTTCCAAACCTATTTCACTCGATGAATCATGATTTCTAATTAATGTACAATCAATAGAATAAGTTAAAGTTGAAGAGAATTCTTCTATTCAGTAGTTCAAAAAGTCAGATATGACCGTAACGTATTAGTAACTATAGTTATCTCTCTCTCTCTCTGATTCCTTGCCATATCGGATTGGTGCAGTGTGATTGGTCAGCTCGAGGACAATAGGCGTGGTGGGGCTAATACGTCACATCAATAACACCAATGAATTGACAGCATTTCAAATAGCGCAGGAAGTGTGTGTTTTGAATTAAACATATTTTTTTTTGTCATCCTATAGTATAGAATAGGTTGCTTCATCACCATTATCACAATCAGCTATATCATCTTCCAAGTCTGATGTAGGCAAGAAAATGATGTTGATCCATAACAATTATCAATTTATTAATAATTATCCAACATTGTGAAAAAAAAACAAGAGCTTGATTCAAAGGCTTTCATGAGAAAATGAGTATCAGTATGAACATAAATGTATGACAATATATGGTTAGGAATATGGAGAATCAAACTAAAATATTTTCGAATCATGTCAATCTCATGAGAGGATTTCAAGAATGTAAAATATAGGGTGTCCTATCGAAAAAAAGAAAGATAGCGTCACTTCCAGAGAAACCCTCAGTATAGCTCCACACTACGAAAATATTTCAGGTGGATTGCCTATCTATGCATGGTTCATTCACCGTTCCTATATATATAAATTTTCACAATCATGCTACTTGTATATAGGCAGGTATATAAATCTCGTTCACTCATGGAGATACACCTTGTATAGCTTTTCATTTCAATTATTCATACCATGTTCCCTCAAGAATTGTGACACGAAACTTTGGGATGTACCTACCTGCTGATGTTTTGAGCGATATTGCAAACATTTTCAACTGGTATAACTGCTCAAAATTCAGGAAACATAGGCCACTTCCTCTTGGCATCTTCTTATCAATCTCATATCTGACATTTTAAGAATCAGAACATCATATCTACTTATGAATCAAAACAAAGGAATCTATATATATAGAGAGAATTAACAATGGATTTACAAATAATATGAAGCTCGTCTTTATAATTTGTATATGGAACGTCAACCAAATCCATTTTTATTGTACACTACACTGTTTTACCACTAACCAAACCGATTTTTTTAACGCCTCGGCACGTGTTTCGCTAACTATGTTAGCATCTTCAGGAGGAGATTAGTTTTAATCGGTTTGGTTAGTGGTAAAACAGTGTAGTGTATTATCGTGCCAAAGGTTCCAGTCTTCGATATATCATTTTTATTGTACTTTTTATTTTGATATAATGACATGTAAAGTTAGCTATATATACTTGATGATATTATATTATTCGTATTTATACAATATCAAAATCAAACGTATAATAATAATTATACTCATTATATTGAATCTATTCAATTATTGTACCTATATTAAAGGGGCCAGGTGCAGACAGAGTGCCAATATTCTGATCCGCATTCGCTTGCCGGTCGTGGGTTCAATTCCCATCGACTGCAGAAATTTTTCTGATGGCATGCACAAGAAAGTGTTTGGGATCACAAGTTATAAAAGGTAAGGCCCCCGTCATTCCTTGCTCGCACAAGAGTCTCGAAGACTTCTGAGGGTAGCTCGTAAGGGGGCAACCGAATGACGGATAGAACAATTTTTGAACAATATGTTATGATCGAATTCAAGGATCAAACA